CCGCGCGCGCCCCCCCAGCCTCTCTCGCTCCCACCGAGGTTTTCCCGTCACACGCTCTCACTCTCCGGCTGAATCCCTCGGCGAGTCTCCCCTCGCCCGGCCGCGCGCGCGCACGCACACCCCCCCCCCCCGGCGCATACAGCAGCCCCCCTGGGCAGGCAGGGGGGGTCAAGCGATCGTGCGCGAGAAAGAGGGAGCCGCAGAAATCTCAGAGCAAAGCAGCCTCGATGAGCAACCAGCCGAGGCAGGGGAAGCACCGTGTGAGCCAAGAATTCACTAATCGCCAAGGCAGCGGGCGGCAGGGAGGGAGGAGAGAGAGAGAGAGATTTACACGGGTAAAAAAAGTCCTTGGTACTGAAATGACATACCAGAGTCTGGAGTAGGAAACATGCGGGTAACTCTTAGGAGATTTCCCCTGCTCGGCTTGCCCTTCTCCTCCAATCTGAGCCCTAATATCCGTTGCTATAATTACACGATTCAGTCTCATCTTGGTAACTCCTTGCTCAGATGAACCTCCCGGTGAAATTAATTTGTTTTTAGTGGAGGGAGGACCCGCAATTTCCCCCCCCCCCTACTGTCGAGTTCTCCCCTGGGGAATTTTAACTACTTATCTTCCCTTTTTAAATGCAAATAACGGCCTTCGTGCGCAATTTTCCACGGGGCTTTTCAAAAATACTGCCTTGCTCCAGAAAGTGCTATGGGAGGACTGAGGTTAAACAGAAGATCGGTGTTTTAAAACAGTCGCCAGATACATGTGCACACGTACAGTTGCCCAAACATGTGCACAACCGGGAAACTGAAATATAGCGATGCAAGTAGCGGCCAATATCAATATGAACGCAAGAAAGCAAGAAACCAATATGCATTATAAAAACGAGGAAAGGCGAGGGGACTGCACAGGAAAGGCGAAGAAATCAGCCCAGCTGCTCTGGAAAAAAAGAAGTTATTGGAAACCCACAGCAAAGGCTGTTGCCTCAAACGATGGAAATAGCTCATCCTTACCTTATCACTACTCCTCGTTTGCACCTGATCTGCAACCATAAATACTTGGAGGTGCTCACTGTGACGCTAAATTGATGGCTGAATTTAAGCAATTTCTTCATGCGCCTCTTTTATAGGCTCAAGAGGAGATTTTTATGACTGTCCTCAGTATCCGTTCGCTCCCCAAAGAATTCCATTTTTTCTTGAAAGAGGCAAAAACATATATAGGTCTATATACACAAGGGTACTGTAATGTATCCAAAAGAGGGGAGGGGGGAACAGAGAGGTGTCCCTACAAACTTGGCAAGCAAGACGTATCCACGGATTTCTTAGCAAGAATGCAAAAAACGGAGGTAAAATACAAGATTCCCAGGGAGCTTTAGAAGCAAACACGCCACACCGGAGAAATGCATGAAAAGAGCACAAACGGGATGGTGGGGCAAATCTCTCTTAGCTAAGCATCCGCCCGCAAAGTGAGCAATCGCCTCCCAAATCCGAGCTAGGGCTGCTGCAGTTGAGTTGCTTTCTCTCTCTCCCTGCTGCTGCTGCTGCTGCTACCTGTAGACACACGCACACACATGCACGCACACACACACACGGGGACTCACAGCTGTGCACCATGCACGCTGCTGCTGCCTGTGGAAAGAAAAAAACCGAGCAGCAGGTTCGCCAATTAGCAATGTGCCTCCCTTTTCCCTCCTCCTCTGCTCCCTCACAGCGGATTTGGCTACTCTTCAGGGGCCTGGACTCTGAGGGGATCCCGCTTGTGTGTGTGTATGTGTGTGTGCGTGCTCCTGCTCGCGCGCGCTCTCTCTCTCGTGCCTCTCTCACACTGCCTCTCTCCTGGCTCTAGACTTGGCCAGCAGCAGAGGGTGGCAGCACTGAGGGTGAAGGACCCAGACGTCAGAAGTGACGTTCACCAAAGACACAGAGATGCACGTGAATGAGGAGAAGCAGCAGCAACAGCAGTTGAAAGGCTCTGCCATTAAAAGTTCCCTCAGCCCCGTTGGTCTGGCAGCGGCTGGCCACTTCTGCCCCCACTGTTGTTGCGGTCTTTAAATGCTGGAAACAGGACCACCAAGACAGGGAATCCAAACAACATGCTGGGATTTGGGGGTGGGGAGGTCTGCTTCAATGCCCCCCTCCCCAATC